TTTTTTTTTTTGTCTTTTTATTTTTTTGAGACAGAGTCTCACTATGTTTCCCTTGGTAGAGGGCGGTGGCATCACAGCTTACAGCAATCTCAAACTCTTGGGCTTAAGCGATTCTCTTGCCTCAGCCTCCTGAGTAGCTGGGACTACAGGTGCCTGCCACAATGCCTGGCTATTTTTCTTTTTGTTATTGTCACAGTTGTCATTGTTGTTTTAGCTGGCCCCAGCCAGGTTCGAACCTACCAGCCTCAGTGTATGTGGCTGACACTGTAACCACTATACTACTGGTGCCATGCCTATCATGACTTCTTTATAAAAGCACTTCCATAGTGTAGAATGGTGTTCTGAGTTATTAATTCTTCCCCAAAGTTGTCATGATTTCTTTAGGCAAAAAGCATTATTTAAACTATGTACATTCTTATGACAGAAACAAAGCAACTCACATATGGTTGATAAGGCTTAGGCTGACTCCAAACATCATATGGATGATGCCAAGGATAACAGACATCTTCATCTTAAAGGAGTTGAGGAAGGTCAGTTTATTGGTAGCAATGTTCCAAATCTGTCACAACCCACAAAAACAAAAAAAGTATTACAAAAAATTTTCAAATGGAAAATTATTATTCATCTGTTCAAAATATAGTTATTTTCTTATTATGGAAAATTCTAAACATTTGTAACAAACTTCCATGTACTTATCACACAGCTTCAACAATTTATGGACTCATGCTAATCTTATTTCATCATATTGACCACTCATTCCCCACCTGTGTATTATTTCGAAGCTAAATCTAGATATCATGTCATTTTACCTGTAAACATTTCAGTATGGATCTCTAAAAGGACTCATTTTTAAAACAAAACCACAATACTGTCATCACAACCAAAAGCACTAACAATCACTCTTTAATATCACAAAACATAAAGTCAGCATTCAAATTTCTGTTTCCAATCCTTTTTTTTTTTTTTTTTTTGAGACAGTCTCACTGTTGTCCTCAGTAGAGTGCCCTAGCATCATGGCTCACATCAACCTCAAATTTCCGGGCTCAAGGAATCCTCTTGACTCACCCTCACAAGTCACTAGGACTACAGATGCCTGCCACAATACCCAGCTATTTTTTCTATTTTTAGTAGAAATGGGGGTCTCACTTTATTGCCCTCGGTAGAGTGCTGTGGCATCACACTGCTCACAGCAATCTCCAACTCCTGGACTTAGGTGATTCTCTTGCCTCAGCCTCCCAAGTAGGTGGGACTATAGGTGCCTACCACAATGCCCAGCTATTTTTTTGTTGCAGTTTGGCTGGGGCTGGGTTTGAACCTGCCACCCTCGGTACATGGGGCCGGCACCCTACCCACTGAGGCCCAGGTGCCACTCGGGGCGGTGGTGGGGGGGTCTCACTCTTGCTTAGGCTTGTCTCCAACTTCTGAGCTCAGGCAATCCACCTGCCTCAGCCTCCCAGAGTGCTAGGATTACAGGCAAGAGCCACCACACCTGGTTACAGTTTCCAATGTTTAAAAAAAAAAATCCTCAACTTGGAACCTCTAGCTCAGCAGCTAGGGCACCAGCCACATACATTAGAGATGGCGGGTTCAAATCCAGCCCAGGCCTGCCAAACAACAATGACAACTACAACCAAAAAATAGCCAGGCATTGTGACAGGTGCCTATAGTCCCAGCTACTTGGGAGGCTGAGGCAAGACAATCACTTCAGCCCAAGAGTTTGAGGTTGCTGTGAGCTGTGATGCCACAGCACTCTACCCAGGGTAACAGCTTGAGACTCTAATAATAATAATAATCATCCATTTTGTCAAAGCAGGGCCTAGATAAGTTGATACACATGATTGCTGACATATCTCTTAAATCTCTACCTATTGGTGCTCCTTCCATCTCTCCTTTTTTATTTTATTATTATTATTATTATTTTGGCAGTAAAATCAACTTTATTTGGCCAATGTATCCAATTTTTTTTTCTCCTTTTTTATTTTTATCTGAAGAAACTGAGTTTTATATCTTATACATCAGTGATTTTTCAACCGGTATGTTGTAAGAGGATCTTAGGTGTGCTGAGAAAAAAAATTTTTTTTTTTTTTTTGAGACAGAGCCTCAAGCTGTCCCCCTGGGTAGAGTGCCATGGCATTGCACCTCACAGCAACC